TAAATGACTGTAAATCAACCCTATTCCCTCTCTTTCCAGTAGCACCACTCCCTCCAATGAGACAGGTGCCCAGATGCCTCAGTAACAATCTTATAAATAACAGCCACTAAATAACATGCTTTGCACAGTGGCAGGAAGCCACAAACAGACTCGGCATGAGCTGAATGCTACCATCCATCACTTTAATGGGTGTACTCTGGAAATTAAACCTGTCATGGCACATCAAGGGGAATGTTTCAACCTGGGGCATTCTGATATATACACGTCTGACATCTTTTTTTCTGCTTCATGCTACCTTCGGCATGTTCTACCACTTAACCTGTGTCCTTTGATACTCTGGTGCTCTATGTTGGTCCCCAGTCCTTCCATCAGAATCCAGCAGTGCTATGGATAAAAGGGCAGATATTGGCTAGGCAGCCTTCCTTAGTTTGGCATCCTCCAGGTGTGTCGGACTACAATTCCCAGAACCCCTTTCATGCTGTCTGGGGCTAATGTGAGCAGTAGTCCAAAATATCTGGAGGGCACCAAATTAGGGAAGGCTGCTATAGGAAACAGTATGCTGAAAAGGAAAAATGGAAGCTCAGTTATGTTGGCGTGGAACACAAAGCTGACCTGGACTTGATGCTGAAGGATCATGCCTCTTATTCTGTTTGCTGTGAGGTGAAAAGTACCCTTGCCTGAATGGCAGGGACAGAAGCATTGGCCTGATTGGGAGAATCTCAACAGCACAAAATTGCTTGGGAGAGGACCCTGAGAATAGCACTTATTTTCAGGAGCATCATTTATCTGAACCTAGTTCTAAAACTCCCTCATTGCTCTTCAAAAGCCTGTAATTCTCAAGTTGTTTTATCTGGGTTTGCATGCAACCATGCAAAATAGCTGTTAGGATAGTCCTCTAAAATCTCAAATGTGATTTGACCATATTTCCTTGCGCCCTTTAACATGATATACCAGCATTGACCAACATGTGCTCTACTACACCACCCATAATCCCTGACCATTGGCTATGCTGACTGAGACTCATGGAAGTCTGGAGAACCACAAATTTCCCAGCCCTACACTACTAGGGCTGCTAGTGTGGCATCTCATTAACATGTTCTGGGTAGGGGAGCAGCCTCCTCATGGGCAGCACTACTGCATCTTGTCTTCTTATTTATGTGGGGAAATGAATGCTCCTGCACAGCTAAAGGCACTAAGCCCAACCCTGAGAGGGCTTCTGTACCTGTAAGAGTCACACTGCAGGGAAAGGTGCAGCTTCCCCATCACTACAACTCTTTGCCATGAAATAAGGAACCTCTGAAATGCTGCCTTCTTTGCGACTTCTGAAGGGACTAGGATCTTCTTAAGGATTTCTAGACTAGCCTTCTGAATCTGGTATCCTCCACATGTTTTACACTTCAATTCCTATCAGTCCCAGCCAGCATGAACAATAGTCTGGAAGACTGGGAGAGCACCAGGTTGGGAAAGGCTATTACAGACTTCAGCTGAAACACAGAATAGGGGAAATGCAGACACCCAACTAGTAAGAAGGGAAAATAGAAGTTTCACAAACTGAAGCAATGGGGAGAACTGTCTTGCACAACTTTCTTGTGCATGCGCCCCTGTGCAGACTTAGCAAAGGTCTTCCTTTAGACAGTGCCTGTTCCAAATTTTTGCAGCAATGGATCGAGTGCTACAGATCTCAGTACAACTAAAATGTAATGAGAGTTTCTTTTTAGAAGACATGATTAAGATCAAGCAGCAGCACTTCTCAAATTAGGAAGGCATGGAATTACAGAGCTGTTTCATTTATTTCTGGATACTATTTTGGGTCAGTTTCCGAGAACTTTGATAGGGATAGATCATAACTGCAGTTATTCACTGCAGTCTCTGTGTGTCACTGTTACTCTACAGAGCTTCTGCCTGTTACATTGGAGTTGCTGAGCAAGCTGTTCATAAATTCATGGCCTGGGTCTTTAGGCAGGTCTCCCTAGAAAGTTGCAAGCACTTGTTTGGGAAATGTTCTCTCTTTCCTGACTTGTAGTACAATTCACATAATGCTCTTCCATAGGTATTACACTGTGTCTCTCTCACATGAATCTCTACATCAAGGATGGGAACCTCAGCACATGGCCCTCATCAGCCAATGGAGGCCTTGGCAAAAGTGAGATAATGCACAGCATAATAGGGTGAGAATGCATGATAAGTTGTGCACCATGTTATAGAAGTGAGGTCTTGAATGATGTGGCTTTTCACTGAAATCAAATCCCTTCTCTTGGAAGTAGCTGCATAATGTTTCAGAACTAGATCTCCAGGCTCCTGAGATCCTCTTATAACTTTGAGGGTGCCCCCTTTTCTTTAGTTCTCTATGCTGATTTTTTTCAGTGCTTCCAAAAAGTGGCAGCAATCATCTTTAGGATTCTTCTAAGCATTATTGTCTATGTTCATGACCTTAGAGCCAAACTACACTGCTGTAAAAGTACTATTTGCATTGTGAAAGGATTAAACTCTCACTCACATTTTTTTTATCAACTGAGGCTGTCTGGTCTTCTGTCCCACCCCCCACCCTCAAAAATCCACATTAATTGCATTTACATAATTAATAGTATATCTAGTATGGCAATAAGATACATCTTCCAGATCAGATGGAGTTTTGATCAGCCCAGCATTCTTTGGAAAAAAAAACCCAGCAATTTTCAGGCACTAAGTAGGCCACTCAGCAGTAGGTAATAATCTAACTTCTGCTCACCCCCACTTTTCTATATGCCTTTTTCAGTATTGTACTATTTATTCAGCAGGTGTTTCTTCTGTGATTATGTCTTTTAAAGTGGCCATGGTTTACTGCACTTGAGCTGATACATATATCACCATTATATTTCTTTTTGTAGAATGGATGTCATTGGCCACTTAACATAATGTAGCAATCATATTAGGAGATGCTGTTATGTGTGCTCATTTGTGAGACTGCTTTCTTTCTTTCACTCCTTCTTCCCCCACCCCCCAGGACAGATTGCTGTTGGGAATGTTTTTGAACATGAATGTATAAAGAACAATGAATGACTACAGCTTTTTCTCACACTATTAGGTATTTTTCATTCCAAATGTCTCCATCGGATAGCAACTTGGATACTCAGAACTGAGATTATGAATTGGAAAAAAGGTTTGTTTAGTTACTTGGATAGGTAACCTTTAGGGATGTACAGATTTTGTTAAATCCATTCTCTGTAAGTTTTGTGGATTGTCAGGCATCTTTCATTCCATTTTCCATTCATTCCCTTTTGCACTGGCACAACCTTTTATTCATCTTCACATTTGCACAAATGTGCATGTGCAGTAATGCTCACTTACACAAATCCCCCAAAAGGTTAAAAAAGAAAGTCTGCCAGTCCACATGACTCAGAAAAATCAGACAGCTGTGGACTTTCCAGATTAAGAAATAGACATCTAATCCCATTTGAATCCATTTTGTCTTTCTCCAACATCACTATCTTCTCTCTGCGTGGGTTGCCAAGTGTTCAGCAGGATGGCTGACTGCTTATGGAGGAAGACACTTTTATTAATATTCTGGATCAGGTGGAACACAGGCTCATGAATGTTTGTGGCTGGGTGGCTAACAGAATATTAAAGCTATGGAGGGTATAGCTGAATGGCACAACACAGGTAAAGATTTGGTTTCTTACTTGAAGCAACTCCTGCTATTCTAAAGGCTTTTGGACCAGCCACTGAGGTTCCATCATTTATATCAAACTGAGAAGATTCTAGGGCAGCCATAAGACAGAACCTTGTGGCTAGGCACACGCTTCGCCCTGTTCCCATACAATAGTGGTGATCCTGTCCACCCAGGTGAAGGCCAATCAGTGTGTCAAGCAACCAAGCATCCTTCCTGATGTGCCACATAACACTCCAGTGTTCACCTTAATTTCCTTATCTCCCTGGCACAGTCAGAGGAGTTACTGAGTGTCCAATGTTTATAAACAACTAATATTTTAAATGTTCATAAATATAGCCTTTGATTCCTACTACCTCAGCCTCCGTAAACACCATACTTCTAACTTTAGCCAAGTCCTATATCATTGTTAAGGGGTGCAGCGCAACCTCCAGCCCACCTATGATCCCAATCTGCCCCCTTTCCAAGTACTGCAACTGGCCATGCTGCCTTCTCTGACCACAACCCTTTCCCCTTCTGCCTTCCTGGCATCTAAGTTTTCCTCTCCCCCATTGTAAAAGGTTGAAATGTCTCTTGTAAGGCTTAGTTACTGGCAGTAAAAGCTTTAAGCTAAAACACGCTGGTATTCAGAGATTTCTAGCTCTTCCCCTTTTGCCTTTGGCTCCACCCACCCAAGAGCATCTCCAAAACTGAATGTTGCCCTTGGACTCAAAGGTGCTTCACACCTCTGCTGTAGGTATTTCCCAATTATGCACCATAGCCATCTTTTGCCCAGTTTATGAGCCTGCCTTGTTCTGGACCAGAATTCCACCAGCTCTAACTATAAATATCACCTCACTCTTTTGTCTTAATCTACTGAGATAATCTAGCCAGAAGGGTGGAACTTCTTGTCTGTACCAGTCAGTGTTGCAGAAATGATATCAGGAGTCTCCTATTTGTTCCCCAGCAGAAAGGGCTGAAGGGACTCAGAACTGGTATCAGATTGCAGGGTGGAAGGCTTCCAGTATCCTTTTGATGCGATTAAGTCAGTTACCTGGATGAAAATGCCTGGAAACCATTGCTGGCAAAGCAAATAGCAGCCTGCTGATATGCTGAAGTGAATGTCTTTACACCAAGGTCAGAGTAATACCAAGGTAATACCCACCCACCCAAACACACTAACAGAACAATTACAAGATAAATATATTCAAAACACACATAAATTAAGTGGCACAGTTTCCCAGGGCACCAGCCCAGGCACAGTCTTTGCCTTCCTTCCTTCCAATAGCAGAAGAAAATCCCGCCACCATGTTTGGTGGGCAAGAGGCAGTTCCTAGATGCTCCCACTGCCCTGCTCTTCAGGCCTGTGGTCTGCTCATAACAGCAAGTTCATCTCCCTGTGGGTGGAGCTTTGCACATCCTCTTCCTCCTCCGAGCATGAAGGATCTGGGCTATAGCTGAAGGTGTTGGCATTGTGGTGCAGGAACTGTGTGCTGGCACTGTGCCTCTTGCATTCCTCACCACCACTCGCATCTGCCTCTTCCTGCCCTTGCACCTCTCCAGACAGCAGTTTCTCAGACGCTTTGTTCATTCCCTTTTGTTTCTCCATCTCAGCTTGTGCCACCTGCTCCTTGGCCTTCCGACTACGCTTCCACTTCATCCTTCGGTTCTGAAACCAGATCTTCACCTTTGAGAGATGGACAGACAAAGACAATGGCAGGAATTCCTTTGGAACAATAATCCTAAATAACCCTTCAGCATCCTGGTACTTTCAACCTTCTGCCCTGTCCTTTAATCTTTAGAGGGTCAAGGAAGCTATAGCCCTCCAGGCGATGATGCTATACTCCCATCAGCCCTAACTACCTTAACTAATGGCCAGGCATGATGGGATCTGTAGTCTAGCAACATCTGGAGGGCCCTAGAATATATCTTATCTTTGCCTGTGTCATTACCTCTTCCATCATTCCTGCAAACATCTCTCTCCTTTGTTCCAGCTGAACCAGCTTTACCTCCTTGCTATACATAATGCCAAAGTAGGAAACATCTTTCAGCCCAAGGGACAAATCTAACTCCAGAGTTGTTCCCAGAGGCCACATCCAGTGGTGGGTGGAACCAAATGCAAAGTTAGCAGAGACAGAGGCAAAAGAACTGGAGCCAAAATGCAAATAATAAATGTATTCTAGCTTAAAGCTCTTATTGCCACTAACTATGTCTTAGAGACATTTCTTAGAAGGGGTGGTGGTGATTGCAAAAAAGCCAGAAATGGCATGTGTCCATCAAGGGAACCCAGGAGAGCCAGATATGTCTCCAGGCCTAAAGCTCTCCATACTTGCTATAGTCCTAACCTTCTATGGCTTATTTCTTTTCCTGGCCACTGGACAAAAATGTACTTATTCTCTTTATGCTGAACGGAAACTGTTTTCTTTTCACAGAATTCTGTGGTCCATTAAATTTATCTGCCAAGGTTGCCTGCACTTTTTGCCATGAAACTGCAGGCCTCCACATATTTTCTTCACCCTGCCAGGGAAAGTTTGAACCAAGGTTTGGTTCAAACATACCAGAAATTTAAAGAGAGGGTGGTTCAAACATACTGGAGGAAACATTCTAGGGGTGAGTCAGTTTGAGGGATACAAGATATAGGCATCATTCAATCCACAAAATCTGATTTGCTCATGGACAACCTTGTTTAGAGACACTAGAGACAGTGGAGGTTGGAGACTCCAATGTCAGTAGGGCTACTTAAGCCTCACCTGCTGTACCAGCCTCTACTCCCAGAGATATGACCCGTTCATTGCAGGTGGCATTAGTATCACACTGCATTTATATCTTGTCTCCTTTCTTCTTGTGAGGAACCCAGAGTGGCTAACAAAATCACTTCAGTAAAACTGACCCACACTCTGCCTTTCTCTTTTAGCACTAGTTCCCAGTTGTTTGTTCCATTTTAACTCCATGAAACATAAACAGACAGCATATGAATGACTACTTGAGACAATTTATTTAAAAATTATGATTGTTACATGCATTTTTGTGGGGAAATAGGGGTTCATTAATTCCCTCTGCAAGTGCAGCTACTTACTTGACAAATCTGAGGCTCATATGCAAGGGATGTGGAACATACAGCCCCTTTGGGTGTTGTTGGGCTTGGGAAGCTAGTATGGCATAGTGGTTAGAGTGTTGGACTGGGATCTTGGGAGATCTGAGACCCCTCTTAGCCTTGAAGCGCGCTGAGTAATTTGGAACCAGTCACAGACTCTCAGCATAACCCACCTCACAGTGTTGTTGTTGTAAGGCTAAATTAGAGAGGAAACAAACATTGTAAGCTGCCTTGGGGTGCTTGTAAGGATAAGAAATGCTGGATATAAGTGCATCATAATTATTATTAATATTATCATTATTTCCATCATCCCTCACCAAGCACAATGTTGGCTCAGGCTGATAAGAATTGCAGTCCAGCCACATCTGGAACATCACACATTCCCCAGGCCTCTCATATAAAGCTTCTCCTGCTGAGCTGTACCTGTGTCTCAGTTAGCATCAGTGACGTGGCCACCTCGAAGCGCTTGGGCCTCGATAAGTACTTGTTGATCTTGAACTGGTTCTCCAGCTCAAGAAGCTGCTGACTTGTGAAGGCTGTCCGAGGTCGACGGCATTTGCCCATCAGGCCAGACTGTGGAGCAGCTGAAAGGGAAAGGGAGAGTCAGGGAGGGTGTGCATGGCCCAGAAGAATGTAAGCCAGGCCGACTTGATGGGAAGTGTTACTTTGCTGTGCCATTTGCCAACCTGCAACTCTCAGAAAATCATCTGTTGCAAGCATATCTGAGGTGTGAGATAAATATGTTTTGAAACTGTTCCTGTGTGACCTTCGCTGTTTTACACAGGTAGCCTCATAAGCAGCCATTTTGAAATGTCCTTTACCAAGTGCCATCAATGCATAGTTTGCTTTGCACAGTTTCATAAACACCAAAGTAGCAGCATATCTCACAGGCTAACATTAGACCAGAGGCTGTAAGCAATAGTAATAGTATGACGACCTTAGCTACAGCCAGAGTTGTGCCAAATAAGTCATTTATAATGTGACTATTTTTACAGTGAAAGCAGTCTTTTGGACAGCTCCCCAAACCTCCCCTTTCATGTTGGTTTCATTGCTGATCACCTTCAAATAGGCAATTCCTTCAAAAGAAAGAAAGAGAGAGAGAGAGAGAGAGAGAGTGCGCGAGCGAGCTGCCTAATCCCAGCTAATGGGAGAACACATAGTGAGCTTGATATCATTTCGCCTTCACATAGTCCGGGGTGTGGGATCTCTCTGAGCCAAGGGGCCCTATTCAATTTTGTCAGAGCTCTTCAGGACCACATTCCAGCAGCAGATGGGACCAAAAGCATAGGGTTGAAGCTGAAGGTAAAAGAAATGGAACCAAAATACAAAACACCTGCATGTTATAATTTAAAGTTCTTATTGCAAGTAAATAAGCCTTATTTTCAACATTTTAGAATGATGGGGAAAAGTCACAAAAGCTCGAAAACTAACAAAGAGTTACAGTTTGGGAAAAGGGTATACAACTAGGATAGCCTAGAGCAGTGGTGACGAACCTATGGTATGCGTGCCACAGTAGGCATGCAAGCCAAGTCGCCCCAGAATCGCCCCAGCAGCCCAGCATTGGATAACAGCGCACATAGGGGCCATGCACATGCTCGGAAAGGAGTAGAGGCGCCAAGCGATGACATCACAAGCTGCGACTCATTTGCCATGACTCTCCCGAGTTTTCACATGGCCACTCAGTTTGCTGCCAAGGATATAGATATAGATATTTGCTTGGTCTGGCTGCGAGTTGTTTTTTCTAAACTAAAGCCTCAGTATTCAGGGTTTATTGCAGTGTTGGCACTTTGTGATAAATAAGTGGGTTTTGGGTTGCAGTTTGGGCACTCGGTCTCTAAAAGGTTTGCCATCAGTAACCTAGAGGGTCAGACTGGAATCCCAGAAGGTTCAGATTTGGTCCCTGAATCAGAGGTTCCACCCCAATGTAGCAGATCAGATTCAACATGCTACTCACATCTCAAAGCCAGTTCAGAGCAAGAACAGTAAGTAATGCCCTCACTCTGACTGGGCAAATATTATCTCTTTCCATACAGGCTTTGAAAAATAAATACATTTCACAGAAAGTGAACATTTTTTTTCCAGCCTCCCCACCATTTTAGCCCATCCCTAGATATCACTTATCAAATTTACTTCTCTGGAAGTGTACATGTAATTAAAAAAACAGAAGGTCAGCTATGGGAGCACTTCCTTACTACTAATGGCATTTGATTATATGTATGAGGCCTAGCAAATTCTGTGAGGAGACATAAACTAGACATGTTGAAGCCACTGCCTTCCCTTCAAGTAATGACTTTATTGCCTAGGCTGATATAACCTGTTTGATAAGTTATCAGTGTTCATTTTAACAATCACAATCAATTCCGTTGGTGAAATTAAACCTCCTTTATTAGCCTAAGGTGTATTTAATTACCTCCAGCTGTCCTGAGGCTGTGATAAGGGCAGTCCTCCTCCACAGAGACTGGAGAGCATGTATCTTGTTAATGGGTGGTTATCGGAGTGCTCTGCTGAATCAGGGGTAGGCTGAACAAAAGAGGCTTTGAGGGTGGCTTCTTGCCCCCACAGGGGCAGAGCAGGGAGGGGGCTGCTTGATTCCCCTATTATCACCAACTTTATGAGCTGCCTCCAGGATTAGGTTTACTGCTCCTGACTAAACAGATAACAGACATTCAGTGGTGAAAGTAGGTAGGGCTGGCCAGGTACAGAGCACCAGAAAAACATTATGACAGTTCTCTACAAATGTGCAAACTTTGATACCTGCACACATTTTAAACTGAAGAGTTGATTCTGGAGAAGGAAGTTGACCTATCAATGAGAAAGCATCTCACAAACACCTCAAGGCCTTATTGCCAAGGAGGGAATCTCAGCATGTAGAGATGAACTGAAAAGTGTTGCTTCTAAAAGCAACTCCTCTGCCTGATCATGCCAGTGAAGACATGCCTGTCTAGAAGTCAGTGGAGTCAGCTAAACACTGAAATACAGCTGCTCATCATGACAAATCCTGGAGTCACAACCCCAGTGAGAGTCCAAGTTGAAGGTGGCCATATTGATACATATCAACAAACAAGTGGTAGGAGTTTTCTGCTTGGAAGCCATCTTGAATAAAGCAGAATTATTTTGTACCAAGGAACAACATGTGGCTGCTGAGATAATTTACTTCTTTCCCCACCACCCCAACAGCCGTTGTGAGGATTGCAGCTAAGTTCAGAGAAACCAGAGAAGTCTAGTGGGTGGGGAACATCATTGATGTCTGCATCCCTGCAGAACAAAAAACATCTCAGTGTTGCAATCCTGTGAGCCTTGGTTCCACTACATGGGTGCTAAAAGTATCTGACAAGGAATTTCACTGAGCATTGCCCTTTAGCCCTCCTTGGTTTAACTATCTTTATTTTAAACCCTCCTTTTAAGCTATCTATGCCGTAGGGCTCCTTGCTGCTCCAGTTCCTAGTGTTGAGTGTAATTATGTGATGGTAACTTGAAAGAAATTGCTTCCTGAGGAAAAAAATCCTATAGTGAATTCCCCAAGGGAGGATCTGTAGCCCCACAGCTGCTGTTAAGAGTACAGCTCCCATCAGTTCTAACTAGTGGCCATACAGGCTGAGGCTGAAAGGAGTTGGAGTCTAACAACACCTAGCAGACCACAGAAATTCCCTTCCTTTGTCCTAGCTGGTTGAAGGAATTGTCTGGAAACGAAACACTAAACTGTTTTTGATTTGCTGTTTCAGTCCATTTAAAGCAAATAGATACTTAAGCAGGGTGGTCCCAATCTGGCCCTAGTTAGTAGCAGCTAGCAACCGATCCTGTGAAGAAGCCCCTCAGTGTATGGAATAAAGTTGCAAGTCCCCATGAAACCACTGTTTGCAATGAGAACTCAAAAGATGACAAACTTTTATTGGAAATGAGCCATGAGTCAAATAAACTTCTTAAACTTCTGTGACCCATATTCATTGGCCTAAAGTGGAAATGAATATTCAGAAAGAAGTGAAATTCACCAAAATGTCCAATTTCTCCATTTTGTTTTCACATATGAAATTTCAACGTGTAAATGCAGATCCTGACTGCAAAGCTTCAGCCTAAACATGTAACCTATCTTGATTTCTTGGCATTTCTGAATCATTTTATCATGAAATTTCATAAGCAAACACCTGTTGATTACTAAATAGCAGATTTGGGTCAGAAGACAGTAATTGGTCTTTTCTTGGTATATCTAAGTCTGGATTGTACCTAATGATTTCAGTAAAGCATGACTGATTTGTTCTACTGGTTTCTGCCGGTCACATATTCAGGTTCCATGCACACTTGCTTGGAAGAAAGTCACACTGCCAAATAGAATGCCGCCTACTTCGTGAGCAGCTTTAGCAGGGTTGAAACTTTCTTGTATCAATATTCAGAATTGTTATTCTTCTTCCATAATCAACTACATGATCACAACTGATTTCAGGGCCAGCCCTACCCAGCACAGTGAAGTCACAGACACCAAACTTGGAGGTTCTGGAGGGAATCAATCTTGGTTACCTAGTCTTTGATTAAAAACACACTTATTAAGGAGTAAATCCCCATTCTGGACAATGGCCTCAGGACTGCATTGTTATTTTCATTTTGCTATCCTAGAGGGGAGGATACCACGTAGACTTTCAGCCTAGGAAACAAACATTTCTCACTGTGTATAGAAGATCCTTGTCCTTTCAGGTGGAACCAGGGTGCAAAGTAGCATTCCCTAGCCTGACAGCTTTGATATGTGTTGGACAACAATGCCTATCATCCCTCATGCTGCTTGGAGAGTGATGAGGAGCTGTAACCCAGCACATGTGGAGAGCACTAGGATGAGCAGTGCTCATGAAAAATATATTTCTGCTTCGGTCTCAGTCATTCTACCCACCAGCATGCCACTACAGCCTCTTCTCCCGAGTGCCAGAAATGCAGCAACTCCCAATTTGGTGCTTTCTTGTAGTCTGCCATTTCAGCAGTATATCCATGCAGATTTTCTATCTGGCCACTTCCTGTATGGCAGGGCAAAGCAAAGCATCTCTATTATTTCCCCTATTACTTGGCAAAAACATGAAACATCCTCTTCATATCTGATCTGTACATTTTCAGTTACATGATACAATGAAGCTTTTAGTTTTAGCTTTCTGTTTTTTTCTTGCCATCCATCACCCTGCTTCTGTGAAACTTTGCTGTATGCTTCCTCTAATTCCTCTATAATATGTTTCATCATTATTAAAATGCCACACTTTTAAAAAGTTTCATCATCCAGGCAGCCAGATTGCTTGCACATAGGAACAAAGGATCCCTTGCTTGTCCATTGCCAGCACAGTTGCTTTTTATCATTGGCTGGTCTTCCACGACTGGAGGGTACTTCTCATATACCAGGTGGGTCTTCACTCTCTGGAGTGTCACCATATTCCTGGGCTTTGTATATTCACTGTCATTAAGACCCCATCAAATTCATCCCAGAAGAGAAAAGTTGCTCCCCACCTTATCACCCAGGGAGGCTGTTGGACAGACGGACGGTTTGCCATCAAAAATGACCCCAGCCTCAGAAAACTCATCTGCAATGATAATGGGAGAAAAATGTGCCTTCTTC